TGTGTTGTTTCTCAAGTAAGTCAGAAGGTGGGCAGTCCAGAGCTGGAGTACTGATTTTAAGTCTTTAGGGCTGCAGGCGCTTTTTAGCTCACTGCTCCTCCCTTCCAAAAATGTGGTCCTCAGCCTCCTGATGGAAGCATCTTTGTTTCAGGAGGAAGAAAGGAGGGAGAAACAAAGATGACGAGGCTAACAATACGCACCAGGTCTTTCTTAAGGAAGGTTCCTAGAAGCTGCTAAGGTGGCTCTTCTATTTATACCCCATTGGTAGAACTTAGTCATGTGAGCATATAGCTGCAGGGAAGCCTGGGAAATGTAGTCTTTATTTTTGGTGATCTTGTGCTCCGCGTGGACAAAGGGGAGACTAACCATTGAGAAACAAGTTTCAGCATCTGGTATACTCCGCAAGGTGTCTGCCATAGGCACTAATTCCTAAAGGCTTAAAATTAACTTTTAGCAGGTAGGCAATACTGAACTCCAATCTCCAAATTATTTTTTGGATAATGAATGCAGGTGAACTTTTAAATCCTTTTTTATTAGACCTCCTAGCTCTTGTTTTCACCATTCAACTTTTCTTGCTTACCCTTCCCAATAGTGATAAAGATTCTATTCAACTCTTTTCTGCCAGAAGTGTCCCCAAGCTTCCATGAGCCACATGTTGCCCTTGTCCTTAGGTCTTCCCTGTAGACCTATCACAGAGAAAAATACCTTTCAAAAGAAACCCCTGCTGGCTTGCTTACATTAGGTTAGTCTGCATATTTGTTCCACATAAAAAAAAAGTAGATGATAGAACACTTGAAATTTCAAGGTACTAAAAATGTGGTGCATTGAACCTATACTTCCCAATTTATTTTCACTCTGTCCAGATCAGTTGTGATAGAGCCTATGTTTAAGTTTTGACTATGGATCTTTATTTCCATGAGATATTTAATTGGAAACTACAGAAGCATCCTCTGACCAACCTCTGCCCCCTCCTCCATACCTTCCCAGACATAATGTTTACTTCTAGTTCTTAGAGCTATCAGGAAATAGTTACTCCTCTGAGAAGAAAAGTCTGGGATTTCTACACAATTGAATTTTCTTTTAAAATAGTCCATCAGGTCATATAAGCAGCTCATAGTCTACAAATATTGAAACTGGCAGTTTTAAGATATTGGGAATTACCCCAGAGGTTAATTCTTTGAGAAAGCTGAAATTAGAAGGAGAATTTGTTAGATGGTATTTACTGTGTTTGTTGTTATTTGAATTTTCATTTATAGATGTCTTATTTTCTTTGGACTATACACTTCTTGAGGGCCACCTCTGTGTCTGAAATAACAGTTATAAAGTGAAACAAAGTTGCCAATAGCTGACATAAATTAAGAAAGCAATGATGATATGGGATTTGTGGTGTAAAATTTTCACAAAAGAAATGAACACTAGATAGGACTGTTTCTCCTCTATCCACTCATCTCACATGTACTTACTGAGCACCAACCATGTGCCAGAACTGTGGTAGATATTAGGAAACAGTGGTAAGCAATATTGATAGTAGTCCCTGTTCTTAGGGTAAGTACAGCCCAGGAGAGAAAGACAGATGAAGAGCTAATAACTAAAATATGCTAGATGCTTGTAGGGCAAGTGCAGATGGCTACAGGAGGGCATGAGGGGGTGTTTAACCTAGTTCCAGTCTTTATGGAGTGTGCCCATACTACTGCCTCATTTGAGCCTCACAAAACCCTCTATAATGAGTATTGGGATTCTTCTTCTCAATTACAGATGAGGGATTGGTCTCAGAAAGATTAGCAAGACCCAAGTGCCCATAGACGCGGACCTGGGCTTGTGAGACCAAACCCAAAGCTTTCTTCACAGTTCCATGTAGCAGCTGGAGCACCAGAGAATGTGAGGTCTGTGGCTATGCTGGGTCCATTTCCAGCCTTTGTGGTGCCCTTACCGCAAGCTCACAACTCCCATTGACATCAATTAATTATGCTTGGCATCCATTGCAGCTGCCTGGATGCCAAGTGAGCATTCTGGCCAGCATGACTTTAAGTACTCTTTAATTAGGGCTGGTTATCCTGTGCTCATGCTGGGAACAATCCCTGCAATTAGGAAAGGGGCTGGGGAAATCTTTCAAGCAGACACAGAAACTATAGAAGCTCAACCATAAATCCTTATTAGGATGAACCTCCATGCAGCAGTCTGTTTAGTGGTCTGTTTTCCTGTCCTATTAAGCAGAAGTCAGATTCTCCAAAGAGAAAACAACATAAAAACGTCTGGAGTTCATTTGGATCTATGTTTAGTACCACTGAGTTGAACAGAGGAATGAACACTGCTGTTGGGAAGAAATTTTTCCCTTATTGCTCTGTATACCCAACTCTACTGATGATTCCTGAAAAACTTCCCCTTTCTTACAAATTTTTGAACCTGTTGGAAATTTCCAAGTGATAAAGATTTTGAGGGGATAGTGTGCTCCATTAATAGCTCTTTTAAAATTAAGGAGGTGGTGATAATTATTTCCTCAATTTGTGGTGTAGTAGAAAGACCATGGGCTTTGGAGTCAGCCTGAATTATTATCTCAACTCTTTTACTTTCTAGCTATTTTCAATTTGGGAAAGTTTCTGGGCTTCCTTGAGCCTCAGTTTCTTCAAAGGATGATTGTGAAGATTAGAAGAAAGACATTGTGGATAAAGTGAAGGTTCCTGTGGCCAGGATTCTCACCTGGCCCTGGTTGGCTAGCTCACTATACACGCATGGGCAATACTTTGTTACTGACTCTATATAAAGAGCTCCATCCAGTGCTCTGGGCGATGTGGTGGCAGGGCTGCAAGGCTGTGGGAGAGCAGAGAAAAGATGAGACTGGAGTGGTGGCAGCACCGAGGACAGAGACTGAGACTGCTGTGGGAACAGAGAGGCCCAGAGGCAGACACCAGCTTGCTGCATGTAGACTCACTCTGAACGGATGGGATTCTAGTGATTGACCTGCCACCATGGGAATAAAGTTGAGTATAACCCTTTCACCCCAAGAATGTTTCATTGTCATTTCTTTGGTCTCATTGAATCCATAGTGAACTTGCCTGGGGCTGAAACCCCAGACATAATATAGACATAATATAGACATTTTGGTGTCTGGCACATAATTGGTCCTTAATAAAAGGGAAATACTATTTCGATGGTTAAAACCTCTTTCTTTCTGAGAACTCAATGCAAATTCTAGCATCTCTTCTAAGCCTGATGTTTCTGGCAATACCAGTTCCTCTGGGCCTTCACCTTTACTATAAATTTCTTGTTTTGTGCCCCCAAAGTTAGGTTCTATATGATTATTTAACCCACAGGTACTCAGTAATATTAATTTACAATCTTGCTGGGGCAATAGGATATTGGTAACAGGGCTACACATAGCAAGTGTCAATGAGTAATGTGGGCACTTGGTGCTATGGGATTTTAGATAAAGAAAATATGGCCATGGACTGGGATTTCAGAGGACTGGAGGATACGTAGTCAGTAATTTATTCTTGGATGGACTAGGTGAGGAGGGCTTGAACTGGGAGCCAAACCTGGCTGGATAGAGACATTAAATAGAAGGATAACAGAATGATTGAATTCCAGGTATTGGGGCACAAACATGGTGTCCCAGTGGCAATGTAAATAAATCAGAGTCTGAGCAAGTAGTTGGTCAAATGGCCAAGGTAAAGCATCCAAGATGTTCTACTAGGTATGCAGTACCCAGGGATGGGACCTCTGGGGATGGCACATTCAAAAGTCAAAGTGAACAGTCATGGACAGTAGATCCTCTGCTGTCTGAATTCCAACTTCCTTTGTCAGGAGGCTTGAGGAATTAGCCCAGGCATGAAGGTTTGTAGAGTCCAAAACTGGCGCTGAGGTGAGATATAGACAGTGTAGATAGCTCTAACAATTAAATGAACACGTGGATCTTAGGAGAGTGCTTCTCAAAGTCCCTGTATCTTCTGTTTCAAAATCACTCAAGAGGCTCATAATAAATAAAGATAATCAGTATATCTGGGGGGATGAATCGGAGGGATATCCATTTTTAAATACGATACACAGAGAATCTTACATACTTTAAAATTAAAGAACATTGGATAATTCATATTGAAGCCGGACTTGAGAGGCAGGTCAGAGTCCTGAAATGAAGGATCAGTGACACTGTGAAGAAGGTAGCTTCTCCTCACTCTATGGAGAGTGGTTTGCAGAAAGTCTGGCTACGTGGAAAAGAATTCTTGGAACAAGGCTTTTGTCCTGGTAGTAGGATTGCAAGGTCTCATTCTGGAAAGAGAGTTGGGGTTTCTGAAACAGAAATGACACATCAGATAGTCTGATTTTGCCCTGATTGTATAGTACTGACATGTGAGAAGAAATCTTAGATCAAAAATGAAAACACCTGGGTTATATTCTTTTCCATGGCATTAACTTTTGGTAAACTGAGGTAGGTTACTTCACTTTTCCCAGCCTTAATTGCTGCAATATGAGGGACTTGGACTGGGCTCTCTAATTCCTCCTCTCTAAGAATTGGGGATTCTATAGTGGTGGAAAAACTTGTGTGCTGCTTTGGAAAAGTCTGTTCAGCTGTGTACCAGGCACTTACTGATTGCTTCTTTGGTGTGGGGAAAATGGAAGGTCTATGGCCAGGACCCTCACCTGACCCTAAACTACTTGATGATGTATTTGGCCTACTCCTAGGCTAATGCTTACACACCCATAGGCAATAAGCTATTACTGACTGAGTCACTATATAAAGTGCTCTGCCCAGTGCTCTAAGCGGAGGCAGAGACCAAGGAGGATTGTAGAGCTGCAAACTGCTGGATGCAGGCATGATTCTAGTGCTCAACCTACTGCTGGGAGAATAAAGCCAGGTATAAACCCTTTTACCCCAGGAACATTCTATTGTCATTTCTCTGTCTCACTGAATCCATAGTGAACTTGCCCGGGGCTGAAACCCTCAGGCGAGACATTTGGTTTCTACTTCCTTCATTTCACCAACAGCCTTTGTTTTTTTCCTCTAGGGATAGGTTCTACACTGCTCAGCTCTGCAGCTGGAATGGACACCATTTCTGGCTCCAGAGGTGGATCCTGACTGGCTGAACCCAGCCAGTGCTTCCCCTTCCCTTGGTGAGGCAACTGCTTCAGGATGGGCATCTGGCTCCATTCAGGCCACGAGGGGAGAAGACTCCTTTAGCCGGGGGTCCTGGAAGGAGCCTTCCTTTCTCTTTTATGAGAGGTGAGTAAAGAGCTTCTCCTGTTCTGGAATGGTGGGAGAATGAGATCTGGAATTCCTGCCTCCACTAGGGAAGCTGTACAGAGCCCAGAGAATCCCACAGGAGCTGGAATAAACCACGCCTGAAACAACCTCTGGCCTTTAAGACATTTATGAGCCAGTGAAGTCATCGGCTTAAGTCAATTTGAATTGGTTTTTCCATTGCCATCAACTCAAGGATTTCTAACTTTCTTTTAAGGTTTCACTAAATATATTTTTATAGACTTAACAATGGTTTTACCTCCTGAAATAAAAATCTTGCTTATTTCTGAATTTTTATTATAGTCAGCTCCCAAGTCATCAGTTTTATGATGTTGAAAATGACAAACATTTGAAAGAGTCAGTGCCTGGCACACAGAAATTGCTTTATAAATGTTTGTCGAATGAATAAAGTGAGAATAAATTTAAAAAGGGAAAGATAATATTTCCTGGGTATAGGAGTAGGTGAGGAGGAAAATAGTTATATAGACTTTTTTGGGAGGGGCACATAGTAAAGAGGAAAGGTATGGAGTGATCATAAAGCCTCAGTTGCTGGGCTACCACTGGCGAGAACTGACCTTTCTCTTCCCTCTTCATATGTTGCCTAATGTTATTTTTCTTGCAATTTATAATTCAGAGAGAAAGAAGCACCCAGGGTAACAAAATAAGTATTGCTTCAACTGATTAACAGGTATTTATGAATACCTACAAAGGTCTCTATTTAAGAGGAAAGACTGATAAATAAATCAATACTAATTACAAAGCTGATGAGTATTATGAGAGAAGGAATGTGGGAGTTATGAGACCAGAGCAAGCAGCTCTAACCTAGACCAGGGTAAGGAAAGCCTCTTAGAGGGGGGGATATTTAAGCTGAGATCTGAAGAATGAGTAGGTACCAGTCAGATGAAGATAGGGTGGGGGAGAAGTGCTTTCCACGCAATGACCCATTTGGCCATGGGGAAGGCATCTGTGAGGACCTGAGAGAAACTGAAAGGATCAAGGGAGTAGGTGAATGATGAGATAAAGCTAAGGAGAGGACCAGATTTTGCAAGTCTTTATAGGCCAGGTAAAGGACTTCCTACTTTATTTAAGGGAAAGTGGGGAGCCCACGGCAGGGTTTAAGTCAGGGAGCAACACAGTCGGATCAGCAGCCAACTGGGCCCACGCCTGAGGCCCCTGCCTGAAGTTTTGCTCCCTGTGTTTGCATTGTGTCTCCATTCTCTAACTGCTGCTGCTTTCCTTTTAAAACACTGAAAAAAATATGACTCAGGCACTGTTTATTCCCAGAACTGGTTACAGTACTACTTTTGCAGCAATTTGTTTTTACTGGTAATAAATAATCATTTTTCTTAATTATGGTTTGGGTTTTCAGTAGTTATGACCTTCTGGAATCACTGATGTCCAGCTCTTAAATTTTGTTTTACCAATAGGTTTCAGCCCCCAGCAAGTTCACTGTGGATTCAGTGTGAACAAAGAAAATGACAGTAAAGCGTTCTTTGGGGTGAAAGGGTTTATTACCCGGCTTGTTCTCCTGGTGGTAGGTGGAGCACTAGCATCTCTGCCTCCGCCCAGAGCACTGAGCTGAGCTCTCTATACAGTGCAATAATAGCTTTTCACCTAAAGGTGTGGAAGTGGCAGCCCAGCAACAGGCCATTTACATCATCAGGTGGTTTAAGTTCAGTGAGGATCCTGGCCATAGGAAACCCCAATTTACCTACAGTCTCCAAAAGGAGATCCAGTAGGGTAAACGTGGGCCCTCCAGGCCTTGTGTGTGATGGGTTTTCCCGTGGTGAGCAGCTGCTGACGGGGCTCACTCTAGGCCCTTGCCTCTTGTGTCTGTTTGTGTAGCCAGAGCACAGTTCCCCCTCACTCTTTCCGGTGGCGAGCAGCTGCCCACCTGACCGCAGGATTCTCTATCCTCACTCCTTTCGAAGGTTCTCCAAGCTGGAAACCAAAGTCAGCCTTTAAATGTGTGCCTGGGGCTGCAGTCCCCTCTTGCACCTGTTGTTTGCACCCCAGGGCATGTGGCAGCACAGTGCTTGCTTTCTTTCACTCTAAAGGGTTGAGCCTTCTTTCAGGGTCTGACCATAAACTCCTGGAGGCCAGAGGCCTCTTATAGCATGTAGACTTTTGGACACAGTGAATGTTGGAAAACACTGGTAGAATGACTGACAGAGAGAGATATAAAAAGTCCTGGATCTGGATGGGGGTTTTTCAGAAACGGTGCTTTGCTGAGGAGAGACTGGCAGCTGGGTGGAAAGATGTGAACATCCATGTTTGACAATTTGAAGAGCACCTGATTGATTGGTAATCAGAGTCACTGCTCCGAAGTCTACTCAGGACCCAGCAATTGTGATAAGGATGGACTTCTCAACAGAGAAGGGCACTGTTCAAAAGAGAAGGCCCTTTGCTGAGCAGTTCATCTCCTGGATCTCCAGTATTGCCGAAAGGTTCAAATGAGTATAAAGTGCACAGGAGAATGCTGGGTATGGGTGAGCAATCAGGCACTACTGTGACTCTTGTTATAGAGGATGCAGGTGTTAGAGAGAGCAGTCAGCTTTTGTGGATGGAGCCGTATTCATTCTTCCTGAAAGGCTCTAATCCTTTCACTCACTGAGCCACTGAATTATGCAAAAATGACTTTTGAGTTTAAATGTACCAGATACTGACTTTACCCAGTTGAAACAGTTGTGAAAAATGCGCTTTATTTTCTGAGATTTTAGTTTTCTTTTGAGGCATGTCATTCATTCAAGAAATAGTCATGGAGAATTAATGGTGGTGTTGCTTGTTTTCATTTGTGGATCTAGGCAAGGGGAGGTGCTCTTGACGGAGTAATGCATAGGTTTTTCTCCTTTACCTTGACAAACCACCTGCTTATTAGCTACTCTGTTTCTTCTCATTCCTTGCTTGATTCTTCTCTATAGCACATTTCACCATCAGGCATATTTTATATTTCATTTAACTTTATTGTCTGCTTCCCAGCACTGGAGTAGGAGCCCCACAAGGGAAGCGTTTTTGTCCATTTTGCTCTGTGCTGTACTCCCAGCTCTGAACAGTCACTGGTACTGGACAATAACTATTTGTTGAATGAATCTACCCCATCCTTGAAGGCTCCATCTCATACCTTGGCTTTGCCATCCTTACCTTCAAGTCTTCCGTAGGGCTAGAGCTGTTTGGTAGAATATCTGGATATTTTGTTTTATGTTGCCTTGCTCCATGGTGCTTTGCAAATAACACTCTTTGGAAAGAAGGCAAAGTAACATCTGGCCAAGTAACTCACTAACCATTTTGAAGACTTTATTCAGGTGAGAGCTGTTTGGTTTATTTCAGAATCCATCAGGAATGCTTCTTATCTGGAAATAACAGCTTTTTAACACGTGCTAACTGTGTACTATATCAAACGACTTACCTACATTTTATCACTTAATTCTTACAACAAATCTATAAAGTCAGTTTTAGTATCTACATCTTATAGGTGGGAAAATGGAGGCATAGATTAAGAAAATTGAAGGTCATAAGGCTAATTAGCGTCCATACTGGGATTTGAATCCTAGTCTTGCTGACTGCAAGGTTCACCAACCAACCACTGGCTACCGCTATGGGCTGTTTGGCCTTGCTGTTAGGGGCTTCAGTTGTGTATTTGTACCAATTCTTTGGTCTTAGAGGAGGCAAACAGACTAGCTTTCATTGACTGATGAGACCAGCATCATTGCCTGCAGGCATTTTTTTCCCTAGGGATAACAAGAGCGTATTTTAAATAATAAAGTATAGTATACAGAATTTTATGTTAAAGATCCCTGTAATAGCTTCCAGCAATTTAAATGGTCAGATAGAGACATAATGCTTGGTAATGTAGTTAATGTTTATTTCAAAATGATGCAGAACAGTAGCTCTCAAACTTCAGTCTATAGAAAGAAGAGCTCATAAAAATTCAAAAATTTGAGCCTTACTTCCCAGAGATTCTGACTCTGCTGATGTGGGGAATGTGAATTTTTAACAAGTCAGGTGATTTTGATATCAATGGTCCTTGACCACAATGTAAGAAACTAACATGGGAACATCGGGAAAAATGCAGAATTGAGTAAATCTACATGTAGCTCCTGAAAGGGGCTAAATCTGTAACATCAACCTTAAGAGTCTTAGCATGTCTCAAACAGTTTCCAGAGCTCTCTTTGCATTGTGAACTAGATAGGTGCCCTGAGAATATTGTAAAGAGAATTTGGAATTGTTGACTGGTCCTTAAGGAGACCAAAATTCTAATAAGGTGTTCAAGATTGTATGTGTGTACATGTGTACACTTATGAGAGTGTGGTGATGTTAGAGGGCTTACATAAATCCTAATGATACTTATGTGAAGCAAGAAATCAAGATCCAGAGAACAAACTGGTGGTTACCATGGGGGGAGGTGGGTGAGAGAGGAAAGTGGGTGAAGGGAACTAAGAGGTCCAAACTTCTAATAACAAAACAAAGTCACAGAGATGAAGAGTACAGCATAGTGAATATAGTCAATAATATTGTTACCTTTGTATGGTGGCAGATGGTAATGAATGGTGAGAATTTCACAATGTATATGATTGTTGAGTCACTATATTGTACACTTGAAACCAATATAATATTGTATATCAACCATGCTTCTATTTTAAAAAAAGATGCCTTGATTCCTTTCCTGAAACAGTAATTTATAATCAATGGGAAAAGACTTTTTAGCAGTCTAATTGTGCTGCCACTCAAATGTTTTCTGACTACCAGGTGGTAGCTTTCATCAAGTTATTTGACTAAACTTATGGGAAATTTACTAAAGAATGATGAGGACAAGGCCACACTTGGCAACAATGATGGAAAGAGAATCCTCCCTTTGATTTGTGAGAGGAACAGATCCCCCCAGGACAATGGAGGGCAACACAGAGAGAGGCTGGAGGGGGCGGTGACGAAGGGCGTTCACGTTACTGTGGTGGCATTGCTGGCAAGAAGGCAGCAGCATTGTGGGCTGTGAACAGTGTGGGGAATGACTCAGCCACTTCAGCTGGAGGAAGGCTAGATCTTGGATCCTTATTTATTCCTCTTGATGTTGGCTTATATCCATGTTAAAGCCAGGGTTGTAATAATAATAAATGAATACTTATTATAGCACTTACTGTGTTCTAAGTCCTTATCTAAATCCTTTGTATTTATTACTCTGAGGTTTAATTATTTGTCCTCCTTGACCTCAAAACTGGCAGATGTGGGAACTGGCAAACTTCAGGACCAGTGTGAAATAACTACTGATCTATATGGCTTCCCCCACTTGCCTTAATCCCCATTAGCTTTTCCTGATGCAGAGTGTGGCTGTCCTCCTCTCAAGCACAGGCCATTAGGAACTGTTAGGGTAAGACGAAGAGAGAACTATGGATTTCTATTTGGAAAATCGCTCTAAGAGAATACCCTTGCTCATGCTAGACTTAAGACGTTTCTTTGAGTAAGAATGAAAGAATGTTGCTCGTGATAGTTTGAGGACCTCATCTTTGAGTGCTGTTGCTTGAACAATTCATTCTAATGGCAAAAGCCAGAGACCATTAGTGGTCATAAGGTGAGCTGCTTGACCCAGACTGATAAAATAAGGTGTTCCATATCATAGCCAGGAAAATTATATTTCTTTGAAAAACAAAACAATGTTTTGTTGAAAAGCCAAAGAAGTCCAGACCCCACATATCTTCCTCCTCCTCAACAGAGCCAGGGTCTGATTTGGAAAGAAGCCCAAACACTCCTTTGGCTTAATTTAGTAAATTAATGGTTCATAACGAAGCATCTAAGAGCCTCTGCTTCTGCCCTCAAAAGCAGAAGGATATGTTCCATTGAGGATAAAAAACAACTCACTTACCCTGATTCTCAGCTTTTCAACACTGATTCCTTTCCTTTTTGCTAAAGGAAACAAGATGCAGAAATAGGAGCTGATCCACGTGGCTTGGGAAAGTGGGGAGCTTTCTGAAAGTTGAGCCAGCAGCTAAGAGCCACCTCTCTGAAGATAAAGGAAATGCAGCTGTGCAGACGCACGTGGCCTTCACTGCCACTCTCTTGCTTTTGGTGAGTTCTCTTACCCACACCGAGGCAGCTTCCCCCCAGCGGCCCTCTTTGGGCCACAACTCCCCCTTTCACACTGGGCTCCACAAGGAAGGCAGCTAGAGTATGTCTAATTGAAAGACCAGAAAACAGAACTGTTTCATAAAATACTTAGAATGCATCAGAATAATGATTTGGGTAATTTATTTGTGCAGTGCTTAGTATAGAAAACAGATCTGGGTACAAAAAGGATTAAAGAAAGTGTTTTTTGCCATCAAAATTGGTTTTAAAAATGTCAGAAAAAAAATTTGTAGCAAGGTAGATAATTATGTGCAGGATTCATCAACAGAGTGAGTTGTTAAATCCACACAATTATTTACTGCTGCAGAGGCTCAGGGGGTTTCCAAATGGTTTCTTGCTATGCTGGCCTTCAGTTGGCCTTGCCCTTTTCCACGAGGAGCACCTGACTGTCTCCATCACAGCCCCAAGTCTAAGCAAAAGCCCATGGATGACCGACTGAAGCTCTTGCTCTTCTTGGGAGTAGACGCACTGGTGGGCCAGGAGCCACCGGGAAGATGTTCATCAGCACTTCAGTTTCTACAGGAACTTCAACCTCTAATCATGAAAAAGGGATTGCTTTAGGACAGGTCAGCAAGAATGATGGCATGTGTTAGAGTGTGTGGGGATCATATGCACACACATGTGTGTTTGTGTGGGGATCATATGCTCACACGTGTGTTAGTGTGTGGGGGTCATGCACACATGTGTTAGTGTGGGTCATATGCACAGATGTGCGTCAGTGTGGGAATCATGTACACGTGTGTTAGTGTGTGGGATCACATGTGCACATGTGTTAGTGTGGAGATCATGCACACACATGTGTTAGTGTGGATCATGCACACGTGTGCTAGTATGGATCATATGCACACATGTGTTAGTGTGTGGGGTTCATATGCACACACACGTGGTGCTGCTGCTCTGCATCATTTTTCACCCTTCAGTAAGAAAACAGAAAACTCTCAGGATTTGTTGACTCCTGCTGCTGATACATGGTATTGCCTGAGGGAGGGAAATGCTTCGCAGTGTGTGGTAGCTGAGCCTTTTTCTTTTTCAGACATTCTTTCCCTCCACCTTGGTTTTGAAAAGCCTGACAAGGAGTCTGTTGAGAGACAAATCTTTAAAGGCTCTCCTTGTGCTCAGTGATACCATATTGTAAGTAATCCTCTTTTTCGTGGGAAGCTTCTGATGAGGCTCTCGAAAAAGAACTAAATCCCAGTCCAGTGAGGCCTTGTTGCATAATGTAAGCAAACAGCTAAGGACTCAAACAGTGGCTTCTCTTTTTATTTCAGGGAACTTCACATTACAATAGTAATGAAAACAAAGTTTCATATTGAACAGAAAACAAGAAATATAGCCAGAGCTATTTCGCGTCCACCTGGTAAAAGGAAGTATCAGGCAGCCACTCTGGCCCTGCCCAAAGGCGGGGCAACTGACCGGGTGGGATGCATGCTGGTGAGACAGGGAATGTTATATGAATGGAGGAAGGAACCCGAATCTGTTCCTGCAGAAAGAGAAGGCTACACAGAGCAATTAGTCTGCCACTCATTGTCTGCCCTGTGCTGGGGTTCAGGAGGCTGACTTTCTCAGGCACCCTCCCCCCCCACCGCCAGGCTCCCATGCTGCCTGGCTTTTCGCAGGGTTTGGCACATGCACCCGCAGGCTCTTGGAGGATGACAGCAGAGGGGTATGCAATGCCCAGTACTTATCCCTCCCCCTCTCTTCCTGTAGGTCCCTGACTGTGACTGTGGCAGTGGCTAAGTCCTATCGCTCTACACAGGCCATGGCTCATATCAAGCCATTCCTCTTTCACAGGGTTGTGGTAACTCCACTTGCTTTCACTGGCCTCTCTGGAACCACAGCGGGGAATGGCTGCCTGTCATTTCTAGGCCCTGCAGGCTTCCCCATCCCATGATGGATACCTTACCTTGCCCACTCCTCTAAAATAGTGTCTTTATTAAATGCTTTTCATTTGCTCTTTTGAGTGTGCCCTCTTTCTTGCTGCAGTCCTAGCTCCGTCCTGACCTCTCTTGCTCAGGCAAACAGAGGCACTGCTGTTCCCCAGACATAAAACTTTTCCTTCTCTGGGCCTCTGTGACTGCTGGTTTTCTCCATGTAGCCTCAAGGGTTAGTGGTTCCTATTTAGTGATTAGGTAGTTCAGTATCGGATGCACAGTCCTCTCTGTACATGGCTGTCAAACAATCTGCTAGCCTTTGTTTAAATATTTCTGGTGGCAGGAATTCACTGCATCTTAAGGCATCAGTATCCATTCATTCAGTGAACATTTTTGCTACCTACCATTTGCCAAGTGCTGTGTATGGTCTTACTTCTCAACAGGCTCATAACAACGAGGAGATGAATATGTGAATAAGCAATTTTGGTATGTGATATGTTTTACTTTAGTAACGTTGTTACACGTTACTTTGGTACATGATATGTTTTACTATTAACAATGTTATGAGAGTACAGCCAAGATCACCCAACTCCGTCTTGTGTAGACAGGAAAATCTTTCCCAGTGAGCAGTGCACGAGTGGAGAGCTGGAGGATGTAGGAACTCTAGGCGGGCAAGGGTGTGCAGAATGTAGTAGAGGAGAGGACTGGGTGGGCAAATGCACAGGCATTTAAGAAAATTTGCTGTCTTTGGGCAATGGCAATTTGGTATATGACTGAATCTGAGAGAGTGACAGGAGATGCATTGCATTCAAAATCTATCCACACCATACCTGCACTGATAATGTGCCTTCTACCAATACAAAACAAGATATTTGTATTGTTCCCTCTGTTTACTAAAAGAAGCACCCCTTTAATGACTTAGCAGTATAGCATTATTGCCCCTATTTTAGAGATAAGGAGACTGAGACTTACAAAAGGTAAATGACCAAGGACACACAGCAAATGGTAGAGTCAGGATTGCAGGCCAGGCCTTCTGATTCCAGAGCCTGGGGGTGAGACCTGTGTGACATTCTGCTGTTCCTTTTACATAGATTCAGGCCCCTGTGCCACCGTCCTGATGACTTCAGGTTACTCTCTTGCTTCCACAATATACATTTTGTTGAAGAATGTCCAGAATTAATAGTGACAGCATCAAAGGGGTTTGGCCAGTGCAGTTTAGAAGACTAGTGTCTGCATTGTTCCAGAGGCCATTCTCACAAGGATGGGGACAGAACCACATGGCCTTTATGTAGTCATGTCTCACCGGCAAGTAATAATCAGCTCACAATCAACCAATGCCCCTAAGTCAACTAGTATCCCTTTGCCTGCCTATATTCTTTCAGGTCTCAGTTTAAATATCACTTTTTGGCCCCCTAATCCCCCGTTTAAGTCCCCCTGCTGTATGTTCTCAGAGCACCTTCTACTTTCCCAAGTGTGATGCTAATCAGAGTTTAGAGTAGATGTTTATTTAATAGTCTGTCTTCCCTGATAGACTTTGAGCTCCATGAGGATGCAGGCCTCATGTCGACTGCCATGGGATCACCTTTATTTACCATCTGTAGGAATTCAGTGTGTACTTGTTGAATGAATAAATCCTTTCCTCTGTATGCTGTTGTTTCTGTCTCTCCTTGACCCGAAGGGGAGTCTTGACTTCTGTCAGCACTGATTAGTTTTGTCTATTTTGAGCTTCATATAAATGGAATCAAACAGTAAGTATTCTTTTGTGTTTTGGCTCTTGTTCAACATATCATGTATACTATGTTATTTCCTACCAGAATTCTAGAACAACTCTCAGGATTTCTCAGCCCCCTCCTCTGCTGCACATGTTCTGCCTGATTCCCCAGACTGGGAGTTTGATGGGTTTTACTCCTGTGATTACATTGCATTATATGGCACAGGAGACTTTAGAGAGGGAGTATCCAGGTGGCCTGACCTAATCACACCACACCGTTAAATGGAGAGTCTTCCCTGAGTGGCACAAGCTATCTAAAAATGGGAAACTCAGTCCTACAACTGAAAGGAACTGAATTCTGCCAACAATAAAAATGAACTTGGAGGTGGATTTTCCCCCTAAGCCCCAGACAAGGTGACTGACACCTTGATTTCAGCCTTAAGTCAGGGACAGAGAACCCAGGCATGCCATGCTGGACTTTTGAGCTACAAAACTGTGCATTTAGTAGTGGTGTTTTCTTAAACTGCCAAATTTGTGGTAATTTGTTACTTAGCAACAGAAGAGTAATGCAGTCCCCCAACTCTTTGCTAGTTTGTAGACAGTAATCCCATAAAACGAGTTGCCTCATTTTATAAACATTTTGTAGCTACTTTATTACAGAGGACTCATCAGGAAGTTACATTGCTTAAAACTAGAAATTTTATGGATGCTTTTCTAAGATTGCTTCCTGGCCAAGAGGAGCTTTTGACTACACCAGCTTAATCAGATTTCAAGATCACAGTAGTATGTTTTCTTCATTCAGGCTTGTAGCTCAATTGATTTGTCAAAAGCCTTGTACTTACCTGGCAATACAGAAACACTGAATTCTAGGTACTCATCAATGAATTTATTAGTTATGTGCCACAGACAACTTACCACCATATGTATGTCAAGTTCTTCATTTTCAAAAGGGGCATAATAGTGCCTACCTTGCAGGTGGTCTTGGGGGCTTGGAGGTGGGATATATATAGTGTTACTCTACTTCTTCATATTCTCTCCATTTATCCTTGCTCCTTGCCTTTTTAAAATGTAGTTTTGCAGAAAGACACTAAAAATAAACAAAGGAAACAGTGAGAAAAGCTTTTTGGATTTCATCATTAGTTTCTTTTATAAATTCATTTGTCTGTAGAGGACCCTTGGTACTCTAAGGAACACTAAAAAAGTTCCCTGCTTTCAAGGGGTTGACATTCAAAAGGGGACAGGATGGGCTCACATACATCGTTTTCTTATTTTTGTGTTTCTGTAGTATTTTTTTTCGATGACAAGGGTGTGGTTCTTTTAGGAAGTGGGATTGCTCTAGTGCCTTTTATAAGACTAGTGAAGTAATCTTTCCATTGTGAGCTATCCTTGGAAGGGAGAATGGGAATGGGAGAGAGGAAAATGTATTTTTTCAAGGTAGTGGCACATGACTGACAGCCCTGCTTCTCGTGGTGTACAGGAATGTTTCTATAACAGGGCATATGAACACAACGGTTATGACTAAGTGTTTTGTAGAATGGAAAAATCAGTTACTAGGAAAGAGGTCTATTTGTCCTTCGTCATGGACAAATACCACCACTGGCATCGGTGGCACACAGGTTTGATGTAGGGACTGTTGAAGATGCTCAAACATTTAAAAGAAAACCTAAAAAAAGATGTTCTAATTTAACTGTTTCCCAAAACATACAGAAGACATAGTCTGGAATAGTTGAATTTGGCTACTGTTATCCAGTGTTTTACAAAGTTTAGGAGATTTTTTTCCCATAAAAACCAATGGAATTCCAAGGCTTCACTTGGGAATTATGAAGCTTTTGAATACAGCTGTGTGTATATGTCTTAATTTCCCATCAACACAGATGTTTATCACCATAGATGCTTCCTGGACTCTCATCCAGGCTTTTACACAAGAACAGTGTCCTGTGTTAAGAAACAGAGCAGCTGTGGGTATCTTTTACAATGGAAAGTTCTTTAACTTTTTTTAATATGAGGGTTTTTACAGGGTGAGATCATTTTTTCTTAGTGTTAGAATCTCTTCTCTTTGAAGGGAACCTAGTTAACTTTTATGAGCTGAGGGATAGGAAAGAGAAAATGGAAGTGAAATTAGTATATGTGATACTGCTGGTATAGATTGCTGTCCTGGTAAAATGAGGATGAAAACCAAAATGTTGAAATACGCATATTTTACAACAGAAGGTTAGCATCCTGACAATGGACTTGCTTCCATTATCAGAAGACCACAAATTTTATGCCATATCTAATCCATATGAAATGAGACACATACTTTTACTTCGTGGAGTTTTCTAAGCTCTAAGTAAATCAAGTAGACTATGCATTCTCTATAACCAGTCTTAAAGGACTTGATTTAATATAATGCAGGATTACAGTATAGTTTACAGATATTTTTATTTAATTTCTCTACTCTTCTCTCTACATCAAATTAGAAGGAGATAAAAAATCATCTCAAATTCAGAATCTCTTTCAGTGAGATTTGGTAGATGTTTTTGAGAAAGGTTTTATAAAGATATGAAACAACTTACATGATTTTTGGGAAATTCATCTGAGGATATTTGTTTTTTTGTTCCTCTTTCCCATTTACATATTTTCTTGTAACATTTTTTAGACTTTTGATGTCCAGTTGACTAGATGATGTATATGTATGCCATTTGCTGAGAGCAGTTTAAGAAGCAACATTGATATGCCTGGCAGGGTGTATTGTAATGAGAATTTCTTTTGGTTGAGGAATCCAGAAAGAATAAAGCTAAGGTTGAAGTTTGAAGTAAAGGATAACACAAAGACTTTTCCTACAATGCTCTCTACACTGGAATAAAAGGAAACCCTTTATTATAGCTTGAAAAAAATTATTTCAGGGTAATGCTGCCTTCTCAGCAGGTGAAAACTTATGGAACTCATTACTTCAAAGTTGAAAATATGAATATAGTTAAGACACCCTAATGAAATTATTGAGGAAAGCCGACGATTTAGGCTAAGTCCCAAAGCTTCCGAAGGTGGTAATGTGAAGGATGATCTACGGAAGAGGACAGGTTTCACTGTTTGCAGACTTCCAGGGCAGACCACTGGTCTTACACACCAGGGAATTTTCCAAAATTGCAACTTTATGACTTTGATGCCTCCAGACTTCCAAGTGTAGGTAGGAAATGAAACTGAAGTAGTAGGTAAAGTGCTTGTAATTATATCAGCCTTTCTGAAGAAGTGAAGCATGTAGTTTGGTTCTCCATTCAAGTGTGTCAAATTTACTAACATTTTAGGATTTTGACGGATTTTCTCTACCTCTTAGTGGTTGTGTTAATGAAGTTTTCAGAG